CTGACCTCGTGATCCGCCCACCTCGGCCTCCCAAAGTGCTAGGATTACAGGTGTGAGCCACTATGCCCACAGAATTTGAAATAATTTTCAAGCCATAGATGGGGATGATACTTGAGATGTCTTCAGATTGTGTTTTCCTCCCTCCTTGTTAGTGTCACTCTTACTGGCTGCCATCCATTAATTCCTGCCAAATGACTGCTGGGAGAGATTTGTTTCCCCTGCCGTAGGGCATAGCTGGGGGTTTTCACTTTTTCAACAGTCTTCTCTGTTTTCTCAAGTATTTTTGTTACCTTTACCTTTCATGTATGCTATGCTGGATTGCTACTTTGTCGTTTCAAGATTTACCTATTGCGTAGTAAACCAGTCATTTCCACAAAGGTGATGTAATCACAACTGAAAATTTTAAAGCATTCCCCCATGGAGTTACCACTACTTGAGATTTCTGCTCCTGCTTTGGGGGACTTACACACTCCATGTGGAGCTCTGCTTTTCAAGTAATGCAGAGAAATTGACTTTGCTGAATGACTTTTCTACTCATGCACCTCTTGAGTGACATTTAATTAGATGTATATGTATGAGTGGTCTTTAAGAATGAGGGATTTACATGCTGATCTCCTCTGCTGCTTTGCTTAATCTAACTAGCTACTGTGCTGGTGAGGCCTAATCATAACTCCTGTGTACACAGTATTGCCTAGAATACCTTTCTTGGAGAGTTACACTAGCAGACTGCTTTAGTTGTCACCTTTCTTTGGTTTCATCTATATCCTAGGCACTCTGTTGCTTTCTAAAACTGCAAATGGCCCTTTCTACTATGTTATCCTCTAGATACTGGTCCAAGCTCTTAAATTTCAGAAAACAGTAGCCCTAGAGTTTAATGTCCTACTGAAAACTTGTTTCCAAAGTAATAAACCAGCAACCCCTAGGTTCACATCTATACTTAGTTTTGATGCTTTCAACAGATACGGAAGGCATTGGCGGGCAGTAGTATGGTATAGTATGTTTTCCTTCATCATAGTGGAAGCATTTATGAAGCAATCTAGAGTGTTAACATTAGTTTTCTATTTATCTTTAAAAGATAAATAGCATATTGCTTTGAGAATAGAGATGGAATGTGATTTTTAGGCCTTTGAAAAATGTCTTGTTATTTTCATTTAAACAAAAATCTTAAATCTTTTAACAAATTATTTATTGAACTAGAATGAATATAAAGAACCACATAGCTCTGTGAATCAGACAATAGCCTTAAAACCAGAGTTCTTATGTGTAGTCAGTAAAATTGGAAATAATTGTTGATCAGCTGTCCAGGGTTTTCTTAACTTTAAAAGCCCATGAGCATACATGAGCACACATTTCCAGCCATTTTCTATTTTATCTGCCTTAAAAACAAATGCAGGCCAGGCGCAGGGGCTCACACCTGTAATCTTAGCACTTCGGGAGGCCGAGGCGGGCGGATCACAAGGTCAGGAGATCAAGACCATCCTGGCTAACACGGTGAAACCCTGTCTCTACTAAAAAATACAAAAAAATTAAGGCCGGGCGCGGTGGCTCACGCCTGTAATCCCAGCACTTTGGGAGGCCGAGGCGGGCGGATCACAAGGTCAGGAGATCGAGACCACGGTGAAACCCCGTCTCTACTAAAAATACAAAAAATTAGCCGGGCGCGGTGGCGGGCGCCTGTAGTCCCAGCTACTCAGGAGGCTGAGGCAGGAGAATGGCGTAAACCCAGGAGGCGGAGCTTGCAGTGAGCCGAGATCGCGCCACTGCACTCCAGCCTGGGCGACAGAGCGAGACTCTGTCTCAAAAAAAAAAAAAAAAAAAAAAAAAATACAAAAAAATTAGCAACCTGGTGGCACGCGCCTGTAGTCCCAGCTACTGGGGAGGCTGAGGCAGGAGAATGGCATGAATCTGGGAGGCTGAGCTTACAGTGAGCTGAGATCGCACCACTGCACTTCAGCCTGGGTGACAGAGCAAGACTCTGTCTCAAAAAAAAAAAACAACAAATGCAAAAACAGAGCATTCATGAGATGTAATTGCATTTAGTATGTATTATAGAACTCAACACTAAATGGCTTATCAATGCCTGAATTTTTTTAAGTACTTAAGTTTCTAGAAACCTGACAGTACAGCTGGGCGCAGTGACTCACGCCTGCTAATCCCAGCACTTTGGGAGGCCGAGGCAGGTGGATCACGAGGTCAGGAGATCAAGACCATCTTGGCTAACACGGTGAAACCCCGTCTCTACTAAAAATACAAAAAATTAGCCGGGCACGGTGGCAGCACCTGTAGTCCCAGCTACTTGGGAGGCTGAGGCAAGAGAATGGCGTGAACCCAGGAGGCAGAGCTTGCAGTGAGCCGAGACCACGCTGCTGTACTCCAGCCTGGGCGCAGAGCCAGACTCCGTCTCAAGAAAAAAAAAAAGAAAGAAACCTGACAGTACTATATAATAGTTTAAGAGTTTAAATGTTATATTTAAATATTACAAAAAAATAAAAAGTTCTAGAGAACTGAAAAAGTCTATCACTAATAGGTTTATAGATATTACTTCTAATATTATAAGAATAGGTTTATTCTTAGATCTCCAGCAGTCAGAATAAATGAGACTAAGTGCTCTGAGGATATAGACAATGTCAATAAGTTTATAAAGTATGGCCGGCATGGTGGCTCACGCCTATAATTCCAGCACTTTGGGAGGCCGAGGCAGTTGGTGGATCACTTGAGGTCAGGAGTTCGAGATCAGTCTGACTAACATGGAGAACCCCGTCTCTACTAAAAATACAAAATTAGCCGGGCATGGTGGCACATGCCTATAATCCCAGCTACTTGGGAGGCTGAGGCAGGAGAATTGCTTGAACCTGGGAGGTGGAGGTTGTGGCAAGCCGAGATTGTGCCGCTGCACTTCAGCCTGGGCATCAAGAGCAAAACTCCATCTCAACCAAAAAATAAAAAATAAAAATAAGCTTATGATTATGTTGTACACCAGACTTATTTTGGAAAATGAAACCTTTGAACCTCTTTTGGCAGAAATAATTTATTTTGGGTAGCTTTGATTCTCTCTAATATAACTAGCAGCATAAAATAAAACCCTCATTTATAAGATTATAATGCAAGTTCATACAGCTGCCTTATCATAGAATATGTTTATTCTCTGAGGAATAGCAGAGAAAATATGAACAGGATCCTCTTTAGTACTCTTGTCCATATGACTTCGTATTCCATTAATAAAAAGGAGTAAATTGGCCGGGCGTGGTGGCTCACACCTGTAATCCCAGCACTTTGGGAGGCCTAGGCGGGTGGATTATGAGGTCAGGAGATCAAGACCATCCTCACCAACATGGTGAAACCCCGTCTCTACTAAAATACAAAAAGTAGCTGGACGTGGCGGCTCATGCCTGTAATCCCAGCACTTTGGGAGGCCGTGGCGGGTGAATCATGAGGTCAGGAGATTGAGACCATCCTGGCTAACACGGTGAAACCCCGTCTCTACTAAACATACCAAAAAAATTAGCCGGGCATGGTGGCGCGCGCCTGTAGTCCCAGCTACTCGGCAGGCTGAGGCAGGAGAATGGCGTAAACCTGGGAGGCAGAGCTTGCAGTGAGCTGAGATCACGCACTGCACTCCAGCCTGGGCTACAGAGGGAGACTCTGTCTCAAAAAAAAAAAAAAAAAAAGAGTAAATCGTAGCTGGTGTACAAAGCTCTGATTTTTATGAGAAATGCCTTTTTGGTGACTTATGGATGAGCCTTAAGCAACTCTTGTCAATGAGATATTGATGGGGAGTGAATATAGACCCTCAAACCATTACTTTCTTGCCCTTCCTTTTTTATAGAATACAACTTTTATAGCCGTGAACATTTGGAAGCTTTATCGTCCTTTCTGGTTTTCATGCAGAGCAGCAATATCACATCCTAACCCCTGTAGCTGTTTATATCAGCAGCAATTAAAATTTGATATACTAATCCCTCATTGCTGACTCTCCCACTACTCATTTTTCATTTTTGTAGAGCCTTAGGACTGTTACAGCTGAGCATTATGATGTTAACAACTCAGCCATCTGGCACAGGGGAAGAGGCACCTAAACAGATTCTTCTGAACAAAAGTCACATATGAGCAAGATCAGAATAGTAGGAGATCTAAAAAGCAGGTAAAGAAGGAAGAGACCTGAATGATACTAACGTGAAAGCAGAATCCAAAGAAGTTTTTAGTTGAAGGTTGACCCTCCTTTTGCTTTCCAGAAGAAAATAATTCATAGTATCATATTAATAAGTAAACTTTTTCTGATTCCAGTTTAGAAACTGTTGGAAGAACCATGCAAACAATGTAGCTATTTTTTTTTGTTATTATTATTATTATTTTTTCGAGATGGAGTCTTGCTCTGTCGAGCAGGCTGGAGTGCAGTGGCATGATCTCAGCTCACTGCAACCTCCGCCTCCCGGGTTTAAGCAATTCTCCTGCCTCAGTCTCCCGAGTAGCTGGGATTACAGGCATGCGCCACCATGCCCAGCTCATTTTTGTATTTTCAATAGAGACAGGGTCTCACCATGTTGGTCAGGCTGGTCTCGAACTCCAGACCTCGTGATCCGCCCGCCTTGGCCTCCTAAAGTGCTGAGATTGTAGGCGTGTGCCACCGCCCCCGCCTGTCCAAGTATCTTAACATTCTGAGTTTGATCTGCAGTGGCTACTGAAATTTTACCTCTGTGGAAACTGAAAGATGATCCCAGCTTTGAGTGTGTGTGTTTTTCCCCCCCTCCTCTTTTGGTCGTTATTGGTTTTCTGGGTGTGGATAAGAAGGGTGTGCTATAGATTGATGCATTGACTCATTAGGCTAAAATGAATGTAGACAAGCTTCCTTTTCCTCAGTGCTTTCCAGTGGTTGTTAGTTTAAAATTCAAAACCAAAAGAAAAACCTACAGGGACACAAATGTACTTGATTTTGTTATGGCTTGCTGTTGCTTCACCTTTCCTTCCATATCTTGCTCTCATGCTTTCTAATGCCTAAGCAGAATACATCATCAGAGCGCCGAGGAGAATGGGAAATTCAGCCCAGCCGGCAGACCAATACCTCATACCTGACGTCTCACTTGGCTGCAGACCGCCATGGGGGATCAGTGCAGGTATTTACTGCCTTTATTGCCTTTTCCTGGCCTTTCCATCTTGGCTGGTAGAATGTTGGCTTGCTTCAGAAACTTTGGCGGCTTTAGAAAGGAAGCTTATAGGAAGGGCTAGTTGAGTATCTCTGCAGATTTTTTGTCTAGGTGGACTTGGGTAAGAGTCGCTTGTTAAGATGATTACTTCCTGTTGTCATTGACTGAGAAACACCTGAATGATTTCTGATACTGATTTCTGGTTAACCTAGTCCTACCACCTTGATGCATTCATGATAAACCATAAAAATAACATCAAGGTGGAATTGTGTTAGTGTTAAGTCTGTGAATTGTAAAGACCTGAAACTTACAAATATTTTTTGAATACAGGACTAAAGGACTGCATATGTTGCTCATTCCATGATATGTGCCTTAATGCATAAGCTGAGAATGTTAATTTGTATAAGTCATCTTTTTCTGAGTGGTTACCCAAGAAGTTGGGCTGTTTCCATTTTTCTCCCTGGAATCAATGTGATCTTAAGAAAATTATTTCTGATTTTATTTGGGCTATTCTGAAACTCTTGTTTTCTGTTTAGTACTAGAACATCTTGTATCTCTTAACTTGTCTTATATGTGAATTTTTTAATAATCTTAGCCTCAATATTGTTCTCATACTGGTGACACCATCAGTTGGGACACACAGTGACCTCAGAGCTGTCAAACATAAATTCTTATAAAGGTGTAGACAGGTTTGTGCGTATAGAAATGCATCTTGGTAGCCTTGATCATCTAGGATATGCTGTTAAAAGGAGTGATTAATGGAAAGATCTTAATCACAGCTTGAAAGACAGTTTTGGCCCTGTAAAAAACCACATAGGATCATATAGGTTAAAATTATGGATTGAGGCTGGGCATGGTAGCTCCTGTAATCCCAGCACTTTGGGAGGCCGAGGCAGGCAGATCTCTTGAGGTCAGGAGTTCAAGACCAGCCTGGCCAACATGGTGAAACCCCATCTCTACTATAAATACCAAAAAAAAAATTAGCCAGGCCTGGTGGCGCATGGCTGTAATCCTGGCTACTCAGGAGGCTGAGGTGGGAGGATTGCCTGAATCTGGGAGGCAGAAGTTGCAGTGAGCCGAGATGGTGCCACTGCACACTCCAGCCTGGGTGACAGAATGAGACTCCATGTCAAAAAAAAAAAAAAAAAAATGATGGATTGGACAAGACTGAGCAACAAAGGGAGAGCTCGTCTCTATAGAAAGTTAAAAAATTAGCCAGGATGGCCGGGCGTGGTGGCTCATGCCTGTAATCCCAGCACTTTGGGAGGCCAAGGCGGGCGGATCACAAGGTCAAGTGATTAAGACCATCTTGGCCAACATGGTAAACCCTGTCTCTACTAAAAATACAAAAATTAGCTGGGCATGGTGGCGCATACCTATAGTTTCAGCTACTCAGGAGGCTGAGGCAGGAGAATCGCTTGAACCCGGGAGGCAGAGGTTGTAGTGACCCAAGATCCCGCCACTGCACTCCAGCCTGGGTGATGGAGTGAGACTCTGTCTCCAAAAAAAAAAAACAACAACAAAAAAAACCGTTGCTCTTAGGAGCCAGGCACAGTGGCTTACACTTATAATTCCAGCATTTTGAGAGGCCTAGTCAGGAGGATCACTTGAGCCCAGGAGTTCTTGACCATCCTGGCAATATAGCAAGATCTTGTCTTTACACAAAACAGAAAAATTGGCTAGGTGTGGTGGTGTGTGTCTATAGTTCTAGCGGCTAGGAAGGCTTAGGCGAGAGGATTGCTTGAGTAGTTTGAGGCTGCAGTGAGCCATGATCATACCACAGCATTTCAGCCTGAGTGACAGAGCAAGACCCTGTCTCTTAAAAAACAAAACAAAACAAAAAAACCCTTTCAATTTTATTTCTCAGGCACCCTTTCTTATGAAGCCACAAGAGGATGTGTGTTATCAAAATTAATAGAACAAGAGAGTAGCAGCCGTGTGCAGTGGCTCACGCCTGTAATTCCAGCACTTTGGGAGGCGGAGGCGGGCAGATCACAAGGTCAGGAGTTTAAGACCAGCCTGGCCAACACAGTGAAACCCCGTCTCTACTAAAAAATTAAAAAAAAAAAAAAAATTAGCTGGGCATGGTGGCGGGTACCTGTAGTCCCAGCTACTTGGGAGGCTGAGGCAGGAGAATCACTTGAACTTGGGAGGCAGAGGTTGCAGTGAGCTGAGATTGCGCCCCTGCATTCCAGCCTGGGCGACACATCGAGAGTCTGTCTCAAAAAAATAAAAAGAAAGGAATATCTGGGATCCAGGAAACCAGAGATCCAGCACAGGAAAGAAACAAAGGGAATCCCTAGTATAATAATAAAGTTAGGAGATCCTGGGATCTGTACACCAATAGAAGAGAGCAGCTTGTTCAAAACAGAGCTGCAAGAGCAGCTCTTTGGTGTTTTCCTGTTTAACATTGTGGTTTATCCTTGATTTTTTATAATTACAAAATAAGCATATTTCTTATTTTCATTTTTCTTTTTGTCTTTTCTTTTTCTTTTTCTTTTTTTTTTTTTTTTGAGATGGAGTCTTGCTCTGTCATCCAGGCTAGAGTGCAGTGGTGCAATCTTGGCTCACTGCAACTGCTGTTTCCCAGGTTCAAGCGATTCTCCTGTCTCAGCCCCCGGAGCAGCTGGGATTACAGGCACCTGCCACTACACCCAGCTAATTTTTGGATATTTAGTAGAGATGGGTTTTTGCCACGTTGCCCAGGCTGGTCTCAAACTCCTGACCTCAAGTGATCCACCCGCCTAGGCCTCACAAATTCTGGGGATTACAGGCGTGAGCCATCGGCTCTTTTGAAATATGCAACTTCCTCTACTCCCTATAAACTAAGCTTTACCAGCTTCCTTGGCACTTAGATAGGGGACAGGCAGTTACACCATTTACCTAATATTATGTTCAGCTCTGCTGCTCCTCATTACATTGGCCTCTTTGGGCTTACACTGTTTTTAGCATACCTTTTGCAAACCAAATTAACAATACTTTCCTAACACAACAGATGTCCACATATTTATGAGTTGTCTCACTTGCTAGAGGTAATGTAGTAAAAACATGTTTGGCCTAACCTGGGTGACTTGCAGACACCATGACCCGGGGAGGAGTGCAGAATGCTAAGATAAGAAAAGTTTGCTCTGATAAGGCACATGGAGACTCCTGTTCCAAGATATTTAATGGGCAGACCCCCATGGTTCTCATTCTTCCAGTATTTCCACAGATCTTATATGTGTAGAAGGCCTAAATGCCAGAAGATAATATATTTTCTCTTTCAAAAAATTCTTCTAAAGTTGTCTAAATTAAAATGTTTAGGGAGTTTTTAGAAATGTTCAGGACCAAGTAAGGACTTAAGACTTAGAATGACACATGAGTTAAAGTACTGTTTCCTTTGGTACACAGCTCTAATTTCTCCTCACAGTGACATTTTGAGAAATGAAACTAATAACCCAAATTATTGAGACTGCTAAAAGGGATATTACCAGGTCTGAATGTCAAAACAGTCCTTCACCTTAGTCTTTCTTGTGAGTAATGCTATAAGATATTAATTGGTCTTGTTTGGTATAGCCAGAGTAATGAGCGATTAAGTGATTAAAGCAAAATAAATGTCTGTTTGAAGTATGCAAATAAAGCTGTTTTTTTTTTGTTTGTTTTTTTTTTTGGAGACAGAGTTTTGCATTGTTGTCTAGGCTGGGGTTCAGTGGCATGATCTTGGCTCACTATAACCTCCGCCTCCCAGGTTCAAGCAATTCTCGTGCCTCAGCCTCCTGAGTAGCTGGGATTACGGGCGCCCGCCATCATGCCCAGTTGGTTTTTTGTATTTTAGTAGAGATGGGGTTTCACCATCTTGTCCAGGCTGGTCTCGAACTCCTGAGCTCAGGCAATCCACCTGTCTTGACCTCCCAAAGTGCTAGGATTACAGGCACAAGCCACCATGCCCAGCCACAAATAAAGCTTTTTATAATGAAGCTTATTTTTTATTATCTTTTATAATGAAGTTATCCTAAAAATTTATTTATTTACTTATTTGTTTATTTATTTATTTTTTGAGACGAAGTCTTGCTGTGTCACCTAGGCTGGAGTGTGGTGGCGTGATCTCTGCTCACTGCAAGCTCTGCCTCCCGGGTTCACACCATTCTCCTGCCTCAGCCTCCTGAGTGGCTGGGACTACAGGCGTGCGCCACCACGCCCAGCTAATTTTTTGTATTTGTAGTAGAGATGGGGTTTCACCATGTTAGTCAGGATGATCTTGATCTCCGGACCTCGTGACCCGCCTGCCTCAGCCTCCCAAAGTGCTGGGATTACAGGCGTGAGCCACCACACCCAGCCATGAAGTTATACTAAAAATTTAATAGAAAAAACATAACAGGCAGATCACTTGGGGTCAGGAGTTCAAGACCAGCCTGGCCAATATGGTGAAACCCCGTCTCTAGTAAAAAATACAAAAATTAGCCAGACGTGGTGGTGCATGCCTGTAGTCCCAGCTACTCAGGAGCCTGAGGCAGGAGAATCGCTTGAGCTCAGGAGGCAGAGGTTGCAGTGAGCCAAGATCACACCACTGCACTGTAGCCTGGACGACAGAGTGAGATTCCATCTCAAAAAAAGAAAAAAAACCCATAAAGTTAATATTGTTTAAAAGGTCAGTAATTTTTTACATTCATAAGTTTCTTTATAATTATTTAAATTTGTTTTCTAAACATCATTGTATTTAATTCCCTTCATATTTATGAAGTTGATAGGATCATGGTCATTTGCCTTGTCTTATAAAATTAGAAAACAGGGCTCACAGAGGATGTTAATGGTAGAACAAGGCCTAGAATCCAACTCTTCTGTCACTTACATGGTATTTGTTCCACTGCCTGCAGTTCAGTAGTTCGACAAACCAGACCTCCAACCTGAAATAATTAATCGGATGCTGTGAAGGCTCAGATGTGTAGCCTTTAAGTCTTAGGTATGTTTTTGGTACAATTAAGTTTAAAAGTAGAGAATGGAAGCTCTGTTTATGTCTCATTCATTTGAGACCAGATGCTCATTGATACAGACAGGATGTCTAGTCTGTAAAATGAGGATAACCTCTTATTCCTTAGATTGCCCACGGACAGTGCTTATGGCCTAAATGGCAATTTGTAGCGAGGAGAAATTAGGAAGTATAAGCCATGAGAGACGCTGTGAGCAGGCCCCATGACCAAGAGTCACCAGGTAATTCTCAGTGGTGATGCTTACTAATGTTTCCTTCGTGTGAGTAGAAGCCAAGACATTTTATTTAACATCTTGTCTAGTTCCTGAACTGTCCACTAGAAACTTACTGTTTTCTCCTGTAACTCTTGTGCTCACAGAATGAGCTTACCAGCATTATCACTGGTGTGCAACCAGAATATGTCCACAAGAAGCAAATGAAGCACTGAGGAAGTTAACAGGATAGCATTAGAGTGAGGAGCTGTGGTTTTCCAATCCATATACCATCTTTCCTCAACTTTTTGGTTTTGCTGGTTTTCTCCCAACTTTTTGTATTGAAAATATCAACTCTACAGAGAAATCGGGAAGGAAATGCAATCAACTCTTGTGTATCTTTAACCTCGCTGAACGAATTATTAAGATTTTGCCATATTTGCTTTAAATCTGTGAGTTAGCCGGGCGTGGTGGCTCATGCCTGTAATCCCAGCACTTTGGGAGGCCGAGGCGGGCGGATCACGAGGTCAGGAGATCGAGACCATCCTGGCTAACACGGTGAAACCCCGTCTCTACTAAAAATACAAAAATTTAGCCGGGCGTGGTGGTGCGTGCCTGTAGTCCCAGCTACTCGGAGGCTGAGGCAGGAGAATGGCGTGAACCCAGGAGGCGGAGCTTGCAGTGAGCCGAGATGGTGCCACTGCACTCCAGCCTGGGTGACAAAGTGAGACTCCATCTCAAAAAAAAAAAAAAAAAAATATATATATATATATATATATATATATATATATAAATCTGTGAGTGAAAGTGTGTGTTTTGTGTTGGCTTGCTAAACCATATGAAAGTAAGTTGCAGACATCATTACATCTTATCCCAAAATACTATAGCCTGTGTCTTCTAAGAACAAAGACATTCTAAGAAAGTTTATTTCATAATATCTAAGATACAGTTCATATCACATTCCACCTAATTCCAGTTGTCCCCAGAATTAATATTGTAGTGTCCAGGATTTAATCAAGGTTCATGCCTCGCATTAAGTAATACAATTTGCCTCATCAGTCTTTTACAATGTCTTAGTCTTTTTCAATACACTTTAATCTTTAAGTCTCCCTGTGTTTAAATAAATAAAAGTCTTTTATAAAGATTCAGCTGGAGGCTGGGCACAGTGGCTCATGCCTGTAATCCCAGCACTTCGGGAGGCCGAGGTGGGTGGATAACCTGAGGTCAGGAGTTCGAGACTAGCCTGGCCAACGTCATGAAACCCCATCTCTACTAAAAAAAAATACAAACAATTAGCCAGGCATGGTGGCACATGCCTGTAATCTCAGCTACTTGGGAGACTGAGGCAGGAGAACTGCTTGAATCTGGGAGGCAGAGGTTGCAGTGAGCCAAGATCGTGCCACTGCACTCCAGCCTGGGTGGCACAGCAAGACTCTCTCTCAAAAAAAAAAAAAAAAAAAGTGTTATTAATGAGAACAATAATTATTTCTTGTTTAGAAATAATGGTAGATATAGATTGCTAGTAAGTAATTTTCACCCTATCTGTCCCAAAGGCTACATGTACTAAATATTTCCTCCCACCCTCCTCTTTATGACTATTCAGGAAATTTTTGTGGATTAACTGCTGGTGAGGACCCCTGAGCTAGAGGCAGATAAGAATAAACAGTTACGGAGAGAGAGGAACAGTAAGATGACCACTTATTGAGCTGTTACTATGTGTCATGGCACTGGGCTAAGCACTTGCTGTGGGTTGTCTGCACAGTAAACACCATTAGGTAAGCAGCATTATTCTCCCATTTTACAGATTAGGAATCTTAGGCATAGACTGAGGATCTTGCCCAAGGACCCACAGCAAATAAGTGGTGGAGCTGGGGTTCTAACTTAGGGCTCATGAAGGCAATTTCTACACTATGCTGCTTCCCTTATTTCTACTAGGTATTATACTAGACAGTCTCATACATTTTCTTGTATAATTCTCTCATCAACCTATAAGAAACAATCTCAAATAGATGGAAGTACTTATCCAAGGGCGTATGATATCCAAATTGTTTATCCTATTTTGTGTTCTCTCCCATGTTTCAGCCAAGGTCTTTAACAAGCAGAGTGTTTTGTCCAGCAGTGAGGCCCCTTTTCCCACTTCCCAGCACCCACATAAACAGGAATCATGTGCTGGAAATGCAACCAGGTGGCAGAAGCAGCTACACATGCAAGAGAAGCCTGATCGGGTCCACATTAACCAGATGACAGGAGTGAGAGCCTTCACTTACATTTCGGGGACCATCAGTGAGAAGTGGGATGACAGTGAACCTGAAATAAAGATCGTTGAAATAAGACTGGCTTTCCAAGGGAGAATGTTCTTTTACCATCTTCCCTCTTGCCGGAGAGGATGTGACAGTCTTGTTATTTGTGTAACTTCGAACCAATGCTCAAAGCCATGAGGAAATTTCTGAAGGAAAGTGTGATTGTTTATAGTTTCTGGTACCCACTGTTGACTTCCTTTTTTGAACTTTTTCTTTCAACATCATCACTAAGTCTATATAATTATAGCATCATAAACTGAGAGAAGTAGACTTCACCCATCACATTCAAGGGAGCCAAGTGATTTTACCTTTAGAAGTCAGCCATGCAGTTATTTTTAACTTAGTAAAGTAATGTGTGTGTTTTTGCCATATGAAAGAATCTGTGTGTTTAGAACAAATTTTCCTCACGGAAATTCACCGATATTAACTCTAAACCTTGGTTAAGTCATTTGTTAGTGTTTCCATCTGTCAAAAGACCTATTTCATAAGATTTTTTTAGGATTTAAATTTACACACACAGTGTAGCAGAGTGCCAGACACAGAGTAGAGGCACTCAGTATGGAAGTTATTATCATCATTATATGATTACATCATTGATTTTAGTGTTCTCACATGATATGGGCCTGGGAACCTTCCCTAAACTGATCCCTTAACCCAGGAAAACAAACATTCCAGACACTGCCTGTTTAGTGACCCTGTCTGGCGCTGGCAAGAGATTTCTGGTGCCATGTTGCCTGTCACACACTATGTCTTTCTGTTTCAGGTGGTTAGCTCAACCAATGGAGAGCTGAATGTCGATGATCCCACAGGAGCCCACTCCAATGCACCAATCACAGCTCATGCCGAGGTGGAGGTAGTGGAGGAAGCTAAGTACGTACATCTTCCAAGGGGGCTCTTAAGTTATGGGTTGAAAAACCTTTTCTGTCTCTTCCTCTCTGTGTGCTGCTCATCTCAGACTGGATTTCTCATGCTTGTAACCACAGCTTTCTTCCTTAACTGTTTTAATTTTTGCATGGTACTTTAAGGCTGCTACTGCCCTTCTTTAGCTGTGATTTCGGGGAAGACAGTCACATTTTTCTAGTTCACATGAAAAAGACATAGTGAACCGAAAGAATCATGTTATCAGGGCTACAATAGATAGTAGCCATGAGCTTCTTGGGGCTGTGGAGCTTCTTGCTCTGTATGGGATATAGAGAAAAATCTGCTGTTAAACCATGGGCCATGCTGAATAGCATTTGATTTCTGATTGTGGGCTAACAACTGGATGTATAATCATGGAACAAGGAGTTCAGGGCCATTTTGTTCACTTTCAAATGATTCTGGCTTCAGGGAGACTAAGTCAGGCAAGAAAAATATTATAGTCTGCATCTGTGAATGAGAGTGTGGGAAAAGAATGAAGTCATACTCATCTCAGGAGGGTAAGGAGGTTGCCCCACGCCCTTTTCTGCTTCTCTTGCATGTGTGTGTCTTGCCCCACCCATACCACCAGCCCCTTGGTGCGCTGCATGGTCTGTGTTTAAACTCTTAAAATCTGAGGTGGAAGGTGAGATAACTGTCAATTCTGCTGCAAAAGCAGCATTTCTACCACTTTTTCCCCTTTTTTCCCCATCCCAAATTTAGATCCAGATTTAGACTTCAAGAAGATACCAGGTAGGGAGAGATAGAGACACCATGAGTCAGTAACTGCTGCTGTCCCTGATATGGAGGACCTTTCTTGTGAGCCCTCTGAGAACCTGCAGGATATCCCAGTGTCTTGTTTTCTGAAGCAGACAATGTATTTATAGTGATATTGTACCTAAGTAGTCTCATGAGCCCCCAAGTAGCTTAATACAAGCCAGAACACTCTTATACCTCTAAATGTAAGTTAGTGAGATGCCACTAAGACCTAAATTCTTCCACCTTCCAGATGCACTGTGTATTGTTGTCTTTCCTGCCTATTCCCCTGGTCCCCTGCCCATCTTTTTTATTTATTTGTTTTTTGAGACAGGGTCTCTCTCTATTGCCAAAGCTGGAGTGTACTGGCATGATCATGGCTCACTGCAGCCTCTATTCCCCAAGCTCAAATGATCCTCCTGCCTCAGTCTCCCAAAGTCCTGAAATTACAGGTATGAACCACCGTGCCCAGCCCTGACAATCTATTTGATAAACTCACTTTACTTTCAAGAAGTCCTTTCCAACCAGGTGTGGTGATTCATGCCTGTAATCTTAGCACTTTGGGAGGCTGAGGCAGGAGGATCACTTGAGTCTAGGGGTTTGAGACCAGCCTGGGCAACATAATGAGACCCCATTTCTATAAAAAAATTGGAAATTAGCTGGGCATAGTGGCATGCACCTGTAGTTCCAGGTACTTGGAAGGTTGAGGCTGCAGTGAGCTATGGTCATGTTACTGTACTCCAACCTGGGTGACAGGTGAGACCCTGTCTCACACACACACACACACGTTTTTGGCCAGGTGCGGTGGCTCACGTGTGTAATCCCAGCACTTTGGGAAGCTGAGGCAGGAGGATCATGAGGTCAAGAGATTGAGACCATGCTGGCCAACATGGTGAAACCCCATCTCTACTAAAAATACAAAAATTACCTGGGTGTGGTGGCACGCACCTGTAGTCCCAGCTACTCGGGAGGCTGAGGCAGGAGAATCACTTGAACCTGGGAGGCAGAGGTTGTGGTGAGCTGAGATTGCGCCACCGCACTCCAGCCTGGCAACAGAGCGAGACACCGTCTCAAAAAAAAAAAAAAAAAAAAGTTTTTGCTTGGAAAACCAGGACTTAAGGATTCCTACCCAATATATCAAAAGTAAATGAGGATGATTTGACTGTCTCTTGTTGAACCCCTGCTAACTATAGGCAGCTTCAGAGCTCTTCTCCCAGCTTGCGTAAGGCACTGATATGTAAGGGGGTGAGGGTTATGCTGGTTATGCCAGGAAAAGACCATTTTAGTAAGGAAACATGCTCTCTATTCTCAGGGACTTTGGAGATATTAATGGTACTTACATTTTTTCGATTTCCATACAAAGCTACATTCTCTTAAATAAACAATATGTTACTCCCAACCTCTTGGCTCTCAACTGGCTGCACTTTGGAGTCATCTGGGGCGTGTTAGAAAATACAAATGTCTGAGTCTGGCCTCAGGCATTCTGATTTAATTGATTGAAATGTGGCCTGAGCATCAATAATTTTAAAAGTTCAGGTCATTCTAACTTGTAGCCAATGTTCAGAACCACTGTACTAAGCATGGTCTGATCCAAACATTGTCAGAGCTTGAAGGATGGCCGTACCTTTTCTCAGCTCCCACCCCATTCTCAATTCACCTTTGTGGCTGTTACTTTGAAGGCTAGAAGTTTAACTTTGGATTTAATAGTATACTTTGAATGCAGTAATCAAATGGGCTTTAGTTTTATGTTATGCCCTATATAGGTTTATCTTTTGAACCCATTCATCTCATCTCATTTTGGTAAATGTGTATACTAATTGTGTATGTGAGTGTGGTATTTGTGTTCTGTGTGTAAGATATGGGCTCATTCACACAGAGATTTCAATCTGGTGTATTCCGTATTGGTATAATTTAACATCTAGAATGTAAGGAGAATTTAAAGTCTTGTCATTTAGCGAAAAGGACAAGTGTGCCTCTTTGCCACCAGCTTCAGGTTTGGATCTTCTAAAAGATGTAGAAAGCATAGAGGAGCAATTATATTTGACCAGATGTCATCCCAAAGCTCCTGGCTTAGGGCATTTAGTGATTTCATGGGCTACCAATCCATCTTGCCCAGAGAACTGTCAGGGCCCAGCCATGTGTTGTTTTTCTTGGCCTTTGTGTGTGGAGGCAAGGAAATAGCCCTATGTCCACCTGGTTGATCATTTTCATGGGAAGAAGTCACAGCTAGAGAAGCACGAGGTGTTCCAAACAGCCCCGCATTGCACGCAGCTGTGATGCCATTTGTTCATGCAGCCTGCTTGTGGGGTAGAGGGGGCTGATGCTTATATTGAGACGCACCTCAGTACTGGGGAGACTGTGTGAAACCTTCACTTTCAGGCTTTTGATTTTGGGTTCCTCACCCAGCTTGTTTAGTGTAAAGGTCGAAAGAAATAACGGTCTTAGGTTTTGTTCTATGTACAAAATGAACATGTGAATTCCCTTTTTCTCTAGCTCCAGGACTTATGTCCTTGTTTATGGTTTAAAGGGTGGATGAGGACAGGCAGCTTTTTGGTTGATTTTTGTTACAGTAAGAATACAGGAATTTTTGGTTTTCCAGACTTTAGCTATAATTTAACAAATGTGAACCTCATTTCTCCGGAGCATTAACAAGAGTAGAATTTAGGTCCTTCTCTGGTAGTTATACCTTAATACAGAGCAGTGACCCTCCTCCCTCTGATTCATCTTCTAATAAGATAAAGTAAGTGTCACTTAAACCTTTTCTCCCTCTCTAGAGGAAGAGCTAACTGCTAGCTGCTTTGATCAGGCATGTTGGACTTGTACAAAGGCTAGGGACTTTATTTTTCCCTCAGAATATTTGGGAGGCTAGCTTAATATTGCACAGTGAGACTTCATGTGGGAACCAAAATGGTCCACCCCTGGTGCTTGATTGAGTTCTTACCGGCAGGGTCATTTGCTCTTTCCCCTGCTGCCTTCCTGGAAGTTACCCAGGAAAGCCCACCCTGGAGCTCCCACCAACTCTTTCTGTTTTGCCTTACCCCTGAGATCCAAATCCCACCTTGATGCTTCTGTCAGGCTCCTGTCCGAACCTCCACTTTAACGTGGGGACCAAGTGGCCTGGGCCTACTCACCCTACCTTGACAGAAGAAGAAACTAAACACAGACACATACTGCATGTTTGCATGGCTCACAGGGAGTCGCTTCCATTTCACCTCTGTGGACTAATATCTCTCTCTTTCTCTCTCTTCCTTTCTGTGTTTTTCTCTTTATATACTCTGTAGCTGCCTGAAAATGCTCAACCTGTGGTGAGTCCCTCTCTCCAGTCCATTGCAAGGGGAGTGGACCAGACTAGGCTGGGATTGGCAAAGCCAAACAAAATGTCTTAGGAACATTAAATAACTTCCATAGGACTCCTTGTGCCATAACCACCCTGACTGGGGATCTAGATCCATAAGGTGGGGATGGGGCAGGCCTGTACCCAGGAATTAATCTATTCCTTCTTTCAAACCCACCTTATCGCTGTCTCCTCCTGCCATAACAGTATCCCACATATCCAAAATTATCTGTTTTTAGCTGAGTGAATTTTCTCCCAAATTAATACAACCAGATATGGAGAGGGACAGAGGTAAAAGGGCAAGATTACTGTATCAGTTTTTACTTAGCAGTTGTGTTTGCTCACAGCCACAAGGATAGTGAGCTGTTGCTGGATAATCTCACGTTCTGCAGTGTGGTCTCTAACCTGGAAATTGGCTGCTTTGGGAAAATCTGACTTTTTTTGATTCAGCTGGCTCTTCCATCTGTAGAGTAGGAACCTCAAAAAAGGGGGAGCTCCTTCAGGGAGAGGTGGAGTTTTTTTGTTGTTTTGAGAGTTGTTTTGTTTTCGTTTATTGTCTTTTTCTTTATTCCTATGTGAGAGTTTAGTAGGCCAAGGGCTGACTCAGCTAATTGATATATTGGAGCCTGTCTGTTCCATTCCTGGAAAAGGTTCCTGGAATGTATTTTTAGGAATAACATGGAGTTTATGGAAGGAGAAGCCCTCAAGAATCCATGTGTGGTGAGGAACATTCTTGCTACAAGACATAGCCCCTTCCCCTGCTCTCTAGCCTATGACCTTCCAGGTACTCCTGAACTTGTTGGTCTGTTGCAGTCTGGAATTGTAACTCTCCCGCATTGTCCGCATGCATAAAGTCATGTTCTACATGGAGGTAACAGCCTGCTAGTTTCATGACTGCCATGTTTGTGTGTCTTCAGTGACTGGGTTGGGCACTGGTTTCTGAACCCTAACTGTCTAAGCCAGATTGCCTACAGGGGCTTCCTTAGAGACAGGAATATATTAAAGAAAACAACTGGGTTTTGTGGAGGTCAGATTTATAGTCTTAGGGGATCAAAGAATACCTTTGGCTATTTGTTTTGCAAATATGTGTCTGTGTAATCTGACATTGTGGTGGTCTATTTTTTCCTGTGAGGTGTCAGTCACATGATCCTTACTGCAGATACTTGAGGGCCTCCTATATGCTTATCTAACCCTGTGCTTGGAACTCTAGCGGGGTGGCGGGGCGGGTTGCAAAATTTGCCCCAAAGAGCTTGGGTACCATCTAGCTGAAGAGATCAGAATTACACATGAAAGGACAAGGAGTTTTCCAGGACATTTAGATTATTGCCCTTGAGAGACTGAGGGGCCAGGAAGTCACCATGGACAGGATAGTCAAATAAGTCCTTGTAAACACTGTAGGACTTGAGTCAAGTATTAGAAGAAAGGAAGAATATACACGTATGGCAGAGAAAAGGAACATAGCAAGGGAATAGCTGAAGAGAGAGGGCCATGACATAGTAAGAATGCTGTATGGAAAAGGTAGTGGGTCAGAGGCCTGGGGTAAGAGCACTAGATGGCTTGAGAGTAGGGAGATTTGGATCGATTTTGACTCCAGCATGTTGAGAACTTCTAGTCATCTAAACAGTCAATCAACTGGAAGAAAACCTAAGCCATGAGGGGTCCATCACCTGCCTTCATTCTCTTCTGAGAGGAACACATCTGAAAGTCAGTCAGTGGACTTGGTCTAGAGTCAGACCCAGTTTAATAGATCCTGTTGCCAGTAGTCACCACAGACACCAAAGAGCTGAAGAGCAGATTGTGAGGCCTGCTTTTTTGTAGGTAGAATCATTAAAAGCCTTTGCCACTGCTGAAGCTTTAACTACAATAACTAGCAAAGATAAATCCCGGGTTCTAAATTTGAAATATTCCAACTCCTTTGAACCATAGCTCACACTCCCTTTTAGTCAGGTGGGTTCAGCATTCCACATCCAGTTATGATACGCTTGTAAGCAGACATTAATTCTTATGGCTTGCCTTGGAGGAGGTAAAAGAGAAGTCATTGTACAGTTTGAAATGGACCTAAACAGTATTTTGAACTTTTTTTATTGCTTTCTTAAAAACACAAAATCATCATCTTTGCATCCTCCAAAAAGATTAAGAATAGAGGTTGACTTAAAAGTTAGTAATGCCTCTGAAAATCATGGTTCAGAAAAGAGGTAAGTCTATTTTTTTTTTTTTTTTTTTTTTTTTTGAGACGGAGTCTCGCTCTGTCACCCAGGCTGGAGTGCAGTGGCCAGATCTCAGCTCACTGCAAGCTCCGCCTCCCGGGTTCCCGCCATTCTCCTGCCTCAGCCTCCCGAGTAGCTGGGACCACAGGCGCCGCCACCTCGCCCGGCTAATTTTTTGTTTTTAGTAGAGACGGGGTTTCGCCGTGTTAGCCAGGATGGTCTCGATCTCCTGACCTCGTGATCCACCCGTCTCGGCCTCCCAAAGTGCTGGGATTACAGGCTTGAGCCACCGCGCCCGGCCATAAAGCATACATATAGAAAAATGCCATTTGGGCCAGGCATAGTGGCTTACACCTGTAATCCCAGCACTTTGGGAGGCCGAGGCAGGTGGATCATTTGAGGTCAGGAGTTCGAGACCAGCCCGGCCAACATGGTGAAACCCTGTCTCCATTAAAAATACAAAAATTAGCCGGGCGTGCTGTGGGCACCTGTAATCCCAGCAATTCGGGAGGCTGAGGCAGGAGAATCACTTGAGCCCGGTAGGTGGAGGTTGCAGTGAGCACCACTGTATTCCAGCCTGGGCAACAGAGTGAAACTCAGTCTCAAAAAAAAAAAAAAAAGGCCAGGCGCGGTGACTCAAGCCTGTAATCCCAGCACTTTGGGAGGCCGAGACGGGCGGATCACGAGGTCAGGAGATGGAGACCATCCTGGCTAACACGGTGAAACCCCATCTCTACTAAAAATACAAAAAATTAGCTGGGCATAGTGGCAACACCTGTAGTCCCAGCTGCTCGGGAGGCTGAGGCGGTAGAATGGCGTAAACCTTGGGAGGCGGAACTTGCAGTGAGCTGAGATCCAGCCACTGCACTCCAGCCTGGGCAACAGAGCGAGACTCCGTCTCAAAAAAAAAAAAAAAAGAAAAGAAAAAAAAAAACATTTGTTCTTGAATTCTTATCCAGGGTTTCCATTGAGGATTTTTTTTTTTTTTTTTTTTTTTTTTTGAGACGGAGTCTCGCTCTGTCGCCCAGGCTGGAGTGCAGTGGCCGGATCTCAGCTCACTGCAAGCTCCGCCTCCCGGGTTCACGCCATTCTCCTGCCTCAGCCTCCCGAGTAGCTGGGACTACAGGCGCCCGCCACCTCGCCCGGCTAGTTTTTTGTGTTTCTTAATAGAGACGGGGTTTCACCGTGTTATCCAGGATGGTCTCGATCTCCTGACCTCGTGATCCGCCCGTCTCGGCCTCCCAAAGTGCTGGGATTACAGGCTTGAGCCACCGCGCCCGGCCGAGGATTATTTTTAACAATCAAAAATGTTGGTCACTTTTATTTAAAAGAATTTAGTTTCCAAATACATATTACACTTTGCTTAGTGATTATATTTGCACCCATTAATAGTACCTCACAAATGTCATTGATACTTTCAGAGAAAATCTTTCCAAAGACCCTCTTAAGAATCTCCTATTTCAGGCCGGGCGTGATGGCTCATGCCTGTAATCCCAGCACTTTGGGAGGCCGAGGTGGGCGGATCACGAGGTCAGGAGATCAAGACCATCCTGGCTAACACGGTGAAACCCCATCTCTACTAAAAGTACAAAAACTTAGCCCGGCGTGGTGGCGGGCGCCTGTAGTCCCAGCTACTCGGGAGGCTGAGGCAGAAGAATGGTGTGAACCCAGGAGGTGGAGCTTGCAGTGAGCCGAGATCGTGCCACTGCACTCTAGCCTGGGCAACAGTGCAAGACTCTGTCTCAAAAAAAAAAAAAAAAAAAAAAATCTCCTATTTCTAAAATGTTCATGTTTGATTCATTCAGATATGATTACAGCCCATCATGGTCTGTGTAAATGTTTGTTTCTGCATTCTTAGAAACTTTCTCCAGTTTTTAATAACATTGGATGTAGGAATACCAAGGAGTCTAACTAAAAAGAGGGGATCTTGGCTACAGTGAAATGCCTAGGGGTATGGGAAGTAAGTAACAGCCTTTATTTCCATATGAAAAATGCTGGCATTACACCTGCAATGATTAGGCAAGAGACTCAAAGATAGTTTTCTCAGAAAAGCTTTTCTTTCAAGGGTCTAGCAAGTCTGAGCTATGCTTCCAACTTTACTGCCCTCCATCATCCTGCATCTTTGACTCATCCACCACCTTCTGTCCCTTTCATTCTCATTCCCCATGTGTCAGCTCCCTGGAAAGGACATATCTTGTGCACCTTGCCACAGTACTCATTACCCGCTTCTGGACTGCCTGAGCAAGAGTGATACTTCCTGTTCTAAAGACAGGAGTGAGGAGGGGGGATACTCAGACTTAGGGATGTGCCAGAACTGTGGCTAGTCCCCAGGGAGCAGAACTTGGAGGACTCATAAAGGAGCCAACCCCACCTCCATCTCAGACAGGGCCAGTTCATAAACCCCATCTGGCACAGCAGCAATCTCAGGAAGCTAAACTGGGGAGTGCCCTGTATCTCACTCCCTAAATTGGGGAGTGAGAGCATCCCGATGGTCAGCTCCTGGGCTGTGCCAGTGGTCCCCTCCAGATGAAAAGGGGGAGCTGTACTGATGTCAGTCAGGAGATGTGGCTCACAGTCATTATTAGAGTCAGGGCCTCTCCTGCCTACTTCAGGTACTTGGGTGAGGGCAGAGAGAGGGCTAGAGAGAATCCTTAATCCTTCATTGGTAACATCCTGAGATCCTCCTAGAGTTCCAGACATCATACTTATCACGGGATTTGTTTGCCTTAATTTAGCCTCCCTGCCCTCTGGCCAGTGAGTTGCATTAAATAATTGTGCCCTCAGTATCAAGGAGTAGACAATGTAGACTATTTTTATGCAGCCCTGAGGATCCCCAGTCTTGGCTCTTGATAAGGTGAGGCATCTGGGTTGGGTGCTAAAGTATGAACCTTCTTCATCCTCCTTCCAGTAATGCCTATTTCAGCCCTGCCTAGCCTGCACCATCTTATAATTAGGTAGGATGACTGCAGATTGAAATCAAGCAGCTATTTCCTTTGGCTTTTCTGGCAGACACTGCCCACTGCCTCCAGTGCGTGCACTGTAGATGGTGGGCGGTCCCTATGGGTGGGTGCCAGGGGGAAAATTCCACCCCCTTCAGTAAGCAGAAGCAGGCAGAAGTCTGCTGGAAGCTGCAGGCCTCCCGCACTGACTTGCAATGTTCCTTGTGCTCCAGGTGCTGCTGTTTCTTTAAGAGGAAAAGGAAGAAGACTGCTCAGCGCCACAAGTGACCAGTGCCTCCCAGGAGTCCTCAGGCCCTGGGGACTCTGACTCAATTGTACCTGCAGCTCCTGCCATTTCTCATTGGAAGGGACTCCTCTTTGGGGGAGGGTGGATATCCAAACCAAAAAGAAGAAAACAGATGCCCCCAGAAGGAGCCAGTGTGGGCAGCCAGGGCCTAGTGGGTCATTGGCCATCCCCGCCTGCCTAAGGCTCTGAGCAGGTCCCAGAGCTGCTGTTCCTCCACTGCTTGCCCATAGGGCTGCCTGGTTGACTCTCCTTCCCATTGTTTACAGTGAAGGTGTCATTCACAAAAACTCAAGGACTACTATTCTCCTTCCTCCCCTTAGTTTACTCCTGGTTTTTACCCCACCCTCAACCCTCTCCAGCATAAAACCTAGTGAGCTAAAGACTTTATTTGCAGAAGGAGATCAAGAGGCTGGGGGTAAGGCCAAGAAGGTAGGAGGAAAATGGAGACCTGGGCTGGAGAAGAACCTTCTCTGTGTCCCAGGTGTGCCTGGCAGTATGGTTTCCTCTTCCTCTGTGCCTGTGCAGCATTCATCCCAGCTGGCCATGGGGTTCAGGTTCCTTCTTCCCTCCCTCCTGTGAAGTTACACTGTAGGACACAAGCTGTGAGCAATCTGCAGTCTACTGTCCCTGTGTGTTGGCGTTCTTAGCTTTTTTGACAAACTCTTTTTTCCAGGCGGTAGTAGGACAATGAAAATTGTTCTGAGCAAAGGAAAGAAAACTGACTTTGTTGCACTTTTAGTTTTTTTTTAAAAAAACAAAAACAAAAACATGGCAGATGCATATTGTGTCTGGTTATATTGGGGGTTTCACTTTTACCTGTTTTGAGGGGGATGGGGCCAGCCAAGCCATTCAGAGAGAACATGGGTCCAGAGGACATTCTCAGTGGAAAGAGTTTGATCTGCACCACCCAGAAGAGAAGCCAAACTCGGTGTCATTCTGAGTGAACACTCAGGTTGGCAAGAAAACATACTTGAATTTTCATTCATCTTCTCAGCAGCTGAAGAATGTCCCTACCAGAGCATCTTGACCTAATCAGCTTACAGTTTGAAAACCTAGCTCTCCAGCACATGAGATGAGCCAGCCGAACCAGACTGTGACCAAGAAACAGCTCATTCCAGAGAAGGAGATGCTTAACAAAAAAAAAATAATAATAATGAAATTGTTTCTTCTGCTGCCAGGGACTTCCAACTAGATAGCCATGTGATTTCCTGGTGACTTGGGGGACAAATTAGTGATGAAACAGCCACCACCATATTGCCATTAGTGGAAAAAAAGAGGAGGACAGTGAACCTACCTTCCACCTGCCAGAGGGACCTCGGGGTGTGGCATTATAGGGCCAGGAAAAGAAAATCAGTGTATCCTATCTCCCCCAATAGCTGAGCTGTAGCATTTGGGCTGGCCTGCCTTATCAGAAACCAGGCTTATGAATATCTCCCAGCAGGTCCGTAGCAGTAAGCTTAGGATGCAGTATATGGGGCTGCATTTAAAAGGAGGGAAAGATTGATTGGTGCTGGAATATTCCAGGGAAAAGGAAACTGGAGTGAAAGGTCTGAAATTATCTTCTCAACTGGACACAGACTCCTTCCAGAAAGGTGGCCATGCCTCTAAGCATGTTTTCCCCAGTATGCCCTCGGCCTCCCCCCGTGGTGTTTTCATAGGAGGTACTACTGTGAAGGATCTTGGTTCCCCATTCACTGTTTGACAAGTCTTTCATGTGGGAAGTTACTCTTCTCATACCCAATTTTCATTTGAGTTTAGTAGCTTAACCAAACAATGACTGCCCATTCCAGAGGTGACAGAAGAGAAAGGGTCATTTACATCAGGAAAGAGGTCTTGTATCTGGGAGTAGAGAGCCAACCATGGAGCACAGTGGCTGGTGGGTGACTTAGTCTGATGGTTTGTGGAGCATAGAAGTCTTCGCCTCTAGCTTGAGGTGTAGGGCTATCTTTTGGACTGGAGGGTGTGGGGATATTTTCTGGTAGTTGCCATTTCTTGAAAAATTCCCTTGATGTACCTTGCACAGAGCAGAAATAGCATTAACAGTATCAGAGGTACTGGGCTTCATCTGTTCCGTTGGATCTTGGCTAGGGAATATTATTTCACTTGCATCAAACCTGCTTAGCTTATGGAAAGATGGTAATATGTCATTTCTATAAATGTTTCTATATATGGAACATAGAGTGGCAGGGAGATGCAGTATCACACCCCTTCCCCACAAGGACTGTGAATATTGGGATTTATGTCCTTGCCATTACCTAGTGGTTACAGCCATGTCACTAAGATTTACATCATTTCTCAGTTGGGATTTCGGCAATGCTAACTTACTGTATAGAAAGTTTAACTTTTCCTCACCCCTGTATAGAAAATGCCTTGCCTCTCAAGAGAGGGCAGAAGGGGGCCAGGCGCAGTGGCTCATGCCTGTAATCCCAGCGCTTTGGGAGGCCGAGGTGAGTGGATCACATGAGGTCAGGAGTTCGAGACCAGCCTGGCCAACGTGGTGAAACCCCATCTCTACAAAAAATACAAAAATTAGTCGGGCGTGGTGGCATGCACCCGTAGTCCCAGCTACTCGGGAGGCTGAGGGAGGAGAATCACTTGAGCCTGGGAGGCAGAAGTTGCAGTGAGCCAAGATTGCGCCACTGCACTCCAGCCTGGGCAACAGAGTGAGACTCTGTCTTAAAAAAAAAAAGAAAAAAGAAAAGGGCAGAGGGAAATGTTGGCAATGCCTGGAGCATCCTGGCACTCTATACCCTACTGAGTGCCTCCCTTCAGCCCCTCACCCTGCTTCCACACACACAAAAGCAAAGGCAGTGACCAGCTTGGCTTAAGGCAAGCTTCCTTGCAGCTGGATTTGCGACTTTTTTTTTTTTTGTCTTAAAATTTTTACTGGATCAGTTGTAGGGGAGTGTCTTTCCTAATATACTGTTCTCACCTTCCAACCTCCACAAATCTCTTACTAGATACTTGGTTTTCATAGCAAAGGTAAAGAATCCCAGGTCCCTTTAGCATGCAGGGTAATGGTGATCCCTCTAGGGCCATTGGCACTTCAAAGTGGTCCCAGACCTGGGAGATTCTGATGTGATCTTCCTTAAAATTAAGCAAAAAACCTGAGTACCCTAGACGCAATTGGCCATCGCTTCAGCCCTCAACACATCAGGGCTCCCTCCTCGGCCCTATTGCTACAGTTGCTTAGCTGTATGCCTCAGCGAGATCCTTGGGGTTAGGGCATGCACTCGCTGACTGTCCCCACCCATCCACTTGCTCTGTAGTTTCTGAGCTTTCTCCATTTCACAACTATGGTGCCTCAGGATCTTTTTATTTGGGATTGATGCAATTGTTTTTCCTGAAAACTAACTCAGCATCTGTTCATAAAAACCCTTAATATTATACATTAGGAGTTTTCCCAAGCTCTACAGTCCCTCAGACATTGCATCCTAAACAGATTGAGGCACACAGGCCAAGACTCCACCAAGGCATAAATGGTCTCCCCTACTCCCTTTTGACCAGGGTATCACTTGTGTCTTTGCAGTAAGAGTTGGTCAAGTTGCTCTATGCACCTTGGCGCTTTCCCCAGATCTCAGTCCAGACTGCCCCCAAGGGTGGAGAGAGCATCCTGACAGCCAGTTTGCACTCATGACTGCCTTAACATTCTTCTGCTATTATGGGGCCTGTCTGGCAATAAACAGGGTCTAGGAAGGTACAAGGTTAGCTTCCAGTTAAAATCCCATTTTACATTGGAATGCATGAGCTACAGATGACAGCAGAAATCCTGAGGTTTCTAGAAGTGTTGATTGTTTCTTTTTTCTAAATGAACTCCAAGTACTTAGAAAACAATCCCTGCCTATTAGCCAGTAAAGGTGACCATCACCCCTAAAGTAATTTCCAAACTTAGTGCAGTGGAAAGATATGCTGGTAGTGCATATTCAGTGTTGATTTTCAGTGCTAGTAACCACTTTCAGTGCCAGAAATACGTAACAATGATAATGTAATGTCAAAGTGGTTACTAAAGATTATAGCCTTGGCCGGGCGCGGTGGCTCATGCCTGTAATCCCAGCACTTTGGGAGGCTGAGGCGGACAGATCACGAGGTCAGGAGATCGAGATCATCTTGGCTAACACATTGAAACCCCAAAACCCTGCCTCTACTAAAAATACAAAAAAAAAAAAATAGCTGGGCGTGGTGGCAGGCGCCTGTAGTCCCAGCTACTCGGGAGGCTGAGGCAGGAGAATGGTGTGAACCCGGGAGGCGGAGCTTGCAGTGAGCTGAGATCTCGCCACTGCACTCTAGCCTGGGTGACAGAGCAAGACTCCGTCTCAAAAAAAAAAAAAAAAAAAAAAAAAAAAAAAAAAAAGATTATAGCCTTAACTTTTTTATGTAAAAGATAAAATCCATTCCTCCTCCCAGTGAGCAAGCATGGCTTGCATTTCTCAAAAATGAGAACTTCCATGGCAGCCAAGAAAACGTCTTCTCAGAGGAGCTTTTGTTTGATGCATCTCCCAAGCCCACATGCCTCCTGTGTCCCAGCCACCTCTTCCATTTTCACATTTAAACCAGCTCTCCATTCCCATTGAGTTGCCCTAACAACATTGTCTCCAGTGTCAGAACCGCATTAGGGTTCGTTTCTCAGATTGGGAGCCTGCAACACCATACAGCCAACATTGCCTTTGCCACGCCACTGCCACCATCCCCAGTATTGCCCTATCGTGGGCAGATGAATTCTAGAAACCCTCAGGGAGCCAGGGCAATTAGGCACCCCATCTGAATTGACCACGTGAGTGACAGGCACTTATCTCTCGGGTTCTTGCTTTTGCAGACTGCAGGGAAGTCCTATCTAGAGGTCGATGGCAGAGACTCCTAGTCTTTCCCATGAGGGGTTGACAGGAATCAAATAGGGATTCCTTTGGCTTGGGGTTTTGGTGTTTTTTGTTTTTTTCAATTTGTTTTTTGGTGTATGGGGGGTGATTTTGTTTCTGAATAAGAAAAAGAAGAGGCAACCATGGCCCTTAACGTGGGTTTATAAAGTTTTGAGCAGTGTTTTAGCCACAAGTAAGGAATCTTGAAAGTCTTTTATCCAGCAAGCAGTCTTAAAAATGTTTTTCCTAACTGCTTTTGCAGGTGACTAAGTACAAAAAAAAAAAAAATAGGTTTCTCATTGTATTCGGAATAGTGAGTAGGTTCCCTGGATAATACACAATGGTAGTTGACATGTTCTCAAAACACAACCAGAAAACCCACTTCCAGTATTTGTAAATCACCTTTCAAAGGAAGAAGTGAACATGTATTCCATGTATTTCTAGTTTGATTACCAAACTTGATGTTACAAAGAAACCTCAGTTCTGTAGACAGAATTTCTTTTATTTTTCTTCTTTTACTCCTCACAATCACTTTCCCGGTGCCATCACCACCTTTAAGGTCTCACAGCAGAGCATTATTCACGGTAATAAGTGGGGGTGCGGTGCAGCCATTCCAGTAACACCCACAAGAGGACAGCTGTTCTGAATGTCCCCACCCACCCTCCTTTCAGTACAGGTGAAACATTTTCAGTTCATGAGCTCCAGACCAAATCCCAGGCCGGCCCTTGCACCAAAAGCCTTTTTTAGAAGGCTTATCAGTCTATTAGGAATGTCTCAGGAAAGATGAGCCATTTCTTTGGGGAGAAATATATTTACAGATGGAAGTGTGTGATTGCGTGTCTGTGTGTGTGTGGTGTGTGTGCGCACGTTGAGTGCGTGCGTTCATCTATGTGCATTTCACTTCCATAAAGATCCAGCCCAAGCTGCTCGGAACCATGTGTTCCTGAGTATTCTCAGAGGTAAACAAGTGACAAGTGAGCTTCTGAAATTAGTGTCTCAGCAAGCTGGCTTTAGGAATGAGCCCTATTTATCAAGCAGAGAAAAATAACAGCAGAAAAGATAAAGATAAACCAAAAATATATACCCCCAATGGAAAATAATGTTGATTCAGCAATTCCCATCGGATGTATTACATGCTCTAATTTATTATATTATTATTTGTCTGTCTTTGATCTTTGCCCATTGTACTCTTAAAAAGATGTTGGGATGTTGATTGCGATTTTTAAACAACTTGATAATGTATAAATCAGCTGTGGAAATCAGTTTTAATGTGTGGATGTGTCTGATTATTGTTAAATGCCTCTTTTTTTACTTTTTTTTTTTTTTAGATGTATAATGTTTCATAAACCCTGGCACTGGTCACAAAGCTCAGCTGTGAAAATGAAATTTGTAGTATTTTTAAACATGAATGTCAATTTCAAGTGTATTTGAAATGGTTCCTGCAGGAGAGATACTTGTGCACCATTAGGAAAATCTTCTCTGCAGAGGAAGTAGCCTTTGGAGAAAATGGAAAATGGGTTCTGATATGTTATCTCAGAGTAGCCCATTTCCTAGGGCACCATGGAAAACACAAATGTGATATTTAAGTATACCTCTTCCCCAATTTGGGGAGGAAAGGACTCAGTTTGCACCCTTTTTGTATGTAAAATAAAATGTCTTACCTTTCTTGGCTACTTCTGCTTGTTTGGTTGGTTGATTGGTTTGTCTGGTTTGTTTTGTTTTGTTTTTTGAGACAGAGTCTCGCTCGGCTCACTGCAAGCTCCATCTCCTGGGTTCATGCCATTCTCCTGCCTCAGCCTCCCAAGTAGCTGGGACTACAGGCGCCCGCTGCCACGCCCGGCTAATTTTTTGCATTTTTAGTAGAGAAGGGGTTTCACCGTGTTAGCCAGGATGGTCTTGATCTCCTGATCTCATGATCCGCCCACCTCAGCCTCCCAAAGTGCTGGGATTACAGGCGTGAGCCACCGCGCCCGGCCTGGTTTGTCTGTTTTTAATCTCCCTTGGCTCATTTGTAATTAACAATCTAGCTAGGACTCACTTTGATGCGATTCAAGTCTCCTGTGAACAAAAATAAATGCCTGATAATTTGGCTTCTTGTTTCATTCCTTGGACTAAACATTGTCTTCTCCCTTGAGTCACTTCAAAAATAAATATTGCTGTATCCTGAAGAAGAAAATTATTTTTTAATTAAAAAAAATATATTGGCCGGGCACGGTGGCTCACGCCTGTAATCCCAGCACTCTGGGAGGCCAAGGCAGGTGGATCACTTGAGGTCAAGAGTTCGAGACCAGCCTGGCCAACATGGTGAAACCCTGTCTCTACTAAAAATGCAAAAATTAGTTGGGCATGGTGGTGCACACCTATAATCCCAGCTACTCAGGAGGCTGAGGCGGGCCAATTGCTTGAACCAGGGAGGTGCAGTTTGTGGTGAGTCAAGATCGCACCACTGCACTCCAGCATGGGCATCAGAGCAAGACTCCGTCTCAAATAAATATTCCTGGAAGAATTTGGACATTATCACTCACATGTTAGTTCATGTGTCCCTGTTCTTCTCAGGTGGTAGAACACAGGAAATCAGGATCTGTTCTGTGGCACAACTTTTAGTAGCTTTGTAATTCTGCTCTACAAATGCGGAATATGTGTCCAGACAGAAGATAGAACTGTGATGAGCAATGTAAAACCATACTGCATGTGTAGCCAACAGAACAACTGTCAATCTGGCCATGATTGACTCCTTCCAGTTGGTTACTGCTCTTTAATTACTTTTTCACAGGCAAGTAGCCGAAGAATCATGAGAGAAAAGTTTCAAGTTTGAGAGCATTTTATCCATCAACCTGATTTCTTGTGAAAGTGGGAATGGGAGAAAGGCTGCTGTAATGCCATTTTAGCCTTAGCTCCTCGTGTGCAGGAGGCTACTTGGGTTTTTTGGGTGTTTCCTTGTTTTTGAGACAGGCTGGAGTGCAGTGGCACGATCATGGTACACTTGCAGCCTTGACCTCCTGGGCTCAGGTGAGCCCCCAACCTCAGCCTCTGGGGTAGCTGCAACTACAGATGCGCACCACCATGCCCTGCTAATTTTTGTATTTTTTGTAGAGACAGGTTTCACCATGTTGCCCAGGCTCAAACTCCTGGACTCAAGCCATCTGCCTGCCACAGCCTCTCAAAGTGCTGGGATTACAGATATGAGCTACTGTGCCCAGCCGGAGGCTACTTTGAAAACAGGATTTAGTAAACATTTTTCTCTGGCTATGGCAGCCTGAGACCAGCGAGTGAGGAAAGAGGCTTAACAAAATAGGACAAAAAAAAAGAGGGGATGAGAGATGGATCTGGAAGATCATCTGTGTCAATATAACAACGTTTAATACTTCCACCTGGGCCGGGCGCGGTGGCTCAAGCCTGTAATCCCAGCACTTTGGGAGGCCAAGACGGGCGGATCACGAGGTCAGGAGATAGAGACCATCCTGGCTAACACGGTGAAACCCCGTCTCTACTAAAAAATACAAGAAAACTAGCCGGGCGAGGTGGCGGGCGCCTGTAGTCCCAGCTACTCTGGAGGCTGAGGCAGGAGAATGGCGTGAACCCGGGGGGCGGAGCTTGCAGTGAGCCGAGATCGCGCCACTGCACTCCAGCCTGGGCGACAGAGCGAGACCCCGTCTCAAAAACAAAAAAAAAACAAAAAAAACCTTCCACCTGATTGGTGTCTGAATTGAGGTTTGAGGACGGAAAATAAAGAGAATTTTCTTGAAGCTCTACTTGAAGCTCCACAACCTGTGCATGGCCGCTGTAATGAAGGACAAAGTTAATGCCAGTGGCCTTGCATAACGTCAGTCTCAGGTCAGCGCCTCATGAAGACTACATTGCATAGTTTATGGAAATGGAGCCCTGCCTATAATCTGTGCTGTGCCGACCTGAAATTTCTACGAAGTTAATCTTTGAAAATTAGTTTTAAAGACGTTTTAACGCCATAGGTCCAAATTTTGAAAGTGGGTGTTTTGGTTTGTTTTGGTGTGTAAGACTCCCAGTACCAAAGTATCTATGTTGTAGAGTGGGACAACACTAAGTGTGTGAAGGCCGAAAATAGCCCTGTGGGGACATCTAGTAATATCCCTGACCTCTGGAAAAAAGGCATTGTAGGCCGGGCGCGGTGACTCAAGCCTGTAATCCCAGCACTTTGGGAGGCCGAGACGGGCGGATCACGAGGTCAGGAGATCAAGACCATCCTGGCTAACACGGTGAAACCCCGTCTCTACTAAAAAATACAAGAAAACTAGCCGGGCGAGGTGGCGGGCGCCTGTAGTCCCAGCTACTCGGGAGGCTGAGGCAGGAGAATGGCGTGAACCCGGGAGGCGGAGGTTGCAGTGAACTGAGATCCGGCCACTGCCCTCCAGCCTGGGCGACAGAGCGAGACTCCATCTCAAAAAAAAAAAAAAAAAAAAAAAGGCATTGTATCCTCAGGCCGTGACACAAATTATTTCTCATGTCAGTGCGGATGTGAAGCTGTCCCAACCAGGACTTGGTGGACACTCCGTATTGCAGCGCTGTGAGGGAGCTGTGGACAGAGTAAATGCAACACAGTCCCTCGCGCGCAGAAAAAAAATGTAGTCTATTGGGGAAAACAAATAGGTAAAGGAAGTTAAGAACAGCGTATACAGTAAGATGTCCATTGATACATACATCAGTAAGCACAGCAAGATAACAGAAGGGAGAGAAAAATCGGTAGTAACTTGGCCTCAGTAAAAAAGGAAGTGGGTTGTGCAGCAAGTTTTGCAAAACAAGTGGAAGGAGCCGTACAAGGTCACGCTCGGTAAGAATAAATGTCCCTGGAGTGTTTGGAAGCCACAACGTTTAGAGCCAATCTGGCGGTGACAAACACTTGACGGGCTCAAAACAGTGACAAACGTCCCGTGCCCCGGTCCAGGCCCACGTATTTGCTAACCTCAAGCGCCAGCAACCGCAGGCCAGTGGAACGGCGCTCCGGGCAGGGCGGAGAGGCGGGCCGCGGAGCATGCCGGGGCTTGTGGTCTTCTGGGAGCCCGGGCCCGTGCTCGGTGGGGCGGCCTTCCGCCGGTGGCCTTCCTGTGGGTGGGAGAGGGCGGCCGGGAGCCCAATGAGGGAGCAATAACGTGGCAACCACCCACGAGCCCGCGTCGGTGCCCGCCCCGCAGGGGGACCTACTATCCGGCGCCGAGCCGGAGGGGGGAAACGGCGCCCGCCGCCCGCCCGGAGCCGGCGAGCAGCCCCAGTCCCCCCCCACCCGCGCGTGGCGGCGCCGGCTCCCTAGCCGCCGCGGCCCCACCCTCTTCCGGCCTCGGCTGTCCGGGCCGCGCTTGCCACCGCCTGTGGATGCTGCGCCTCTCTGAACGCAACATGAAGGTGCTCCTTGCCGCCGCCCTCATCGCGGGGTCCGTCTTCTTCCTGCTGCTGCCGGGACCTTCTGCGGCCGATGAGAAGAAGAAGGGGCCCAAAGTCACCGTCAAGGTCCGGTGGAGTCCGCGGCATTTACGGTGCTGGAGCTTGGGCCCGGGCGGCCTTGGCTTGGCCTTGGCTCAGCCCCTCCTCCCTCGGCTTCTGTCTGTGGCCTCGTGGCGTCTGGGCCGTCCTGCCTATTCAGTCCAGAGAACGACCCGGACCCACCCCGACACCCCCAGCCCCTGCCCTGACCCAGGGAGTTAGTTGGATCCGCGGATACCCATCTGGGGCTGGCACTGGCAGCCTCAGGGCAGCCTTTTTGCAAACACCCCTCAGTGCTGGGGAGATGGTGAAAGATCACGCCTGCCAGATTCCGAATCCTTTCTCTCCTTAAGCCAAATTTTAGCCACTTCCAATTACAAAGCACAGTATGTAGAGTTCAAACTTAAGTGGTGAACTTAGACTCCCCTCCTTATGGGTTTTTAAATGTTAATTTTTAGAATCTGGGTCCATTAGCTGTTTAGAGCAAATGTTGTTATCCTGTAGTTCAAGGAGGGTGTAGATAAGCATGTTTTCCAAGAAAAGGGTCTAGAGCTTTCATTAGATTCCCAGGATTTTGACCTTCACCAAAATCAGATTCAGAACCACTTCTCTAAAAATATGGCTCTATTCTCTCTCCCATCCTCAGGGTAGCTTCTTGTACCTTCCCTCCCCTACCAACGCCCCTTTAAAGAAGCTAAGTTGGCAATGGTCTCTTTCCTCAGGTGTATTTTGACCTGCGAATTGGAGATGAAGATGTAGGCCGGGTGATCTTTGGTCTCTTCGGAAAGACTGTTCCAAAAACAGTGGATAATTTTGTGGCCTTAGCTACAGGAGAGGTAAGTGGCTGGAGCAGGGGTAGTCAACTCAAATGAAGTGAAGCTGGCACTGGGGATGGCAGCAAACTGACCTGCAGAGTTCAGCCCATCTGTATCGTGGACCTCACTGAGCACCGACTGCCTGTTGCCCTGAGAACACAGTATTGTCCTTTCTTAAGAGTAAGGGGGCCCTGACCAGGCACAGTGGCTCACACTTATAATCCAAGCACTTTTGGAGGCCAAGGTAGAAGGATTGCTTGAGCCCAGGAATTCAAGACCAACCTGGGTAACATAGCAAGACCCTGTCTCTACCCCCCCAGAATTTTTTTTTTTGAGACAGAGTTTCACTCTTGTTGCCCAGGCTGGAGTGCAATGGTGCGGCCTAAGCTCATTGCAACCTCCGCCTC